TAGGGCACATGTTAATAGGAACTTTTTGGCTTATTTTAATGAGTTATAAACGCAGCAGAAGTTTGGAACCCTATTTTAAAAACACCCTGTATAGGGTCCACCTAAGAGGGATTCTGTAACTCTGTAACTGTAAAATTTATAATAAATAGTTTTCATAAAAGTTGTCTGGAATCATGTGGGCTATGTAAAGAAAATATGCGTGGGCACTACATAACTTTGTTATTTTAAATGGAAAATGGTATATTATTACGTTTTTGAATTCCTTGCTTAATATTAGGTAGAGTTTATTAAATGTTATTGGCATTCAATTTTGCATTCACCCATGACAATTAATATGGGCCATTCCATTAGAAAAAAAAAGTTTTTCAACTCCTAAGATTATTAAATGTAGGTCTCAATATTTCCGAGTCTGAATAACGTACACCTTTCGCTCATAGATGACAAGATAGAGTAATTATGCCAAAATGAACTGTGAAACTGCAGATTAAGAATTAATTTCCTCCGTTTCGAGTCTTTAATCGTTTGAGAAGTTGTTGAACCGTCTTTAAATATTTACTCACCTTTTCAATTCTTACAAAATATCAATTACTAATACGCTGAAAAAAAAACAGGCAAACAGACCTTCCCTCAAAATATCCGCCTCCGCATCAAAGAGGAAGTACCCCGAAGACGCTTAAGCAAAGCCTATAGCTGTCTTTTTTACGAAAACTCTCAATTTAAACGTCTCGAAATCTAATCGTTTGAAATACGACTCCTTACAGTTTAAATATAATCAGTTTCGCAAATATTTCTCAAATGCCATTAAGCCGAATTAAATTGGAACGTCTTTCGCTACGGCTAATTTATCTCCTGAAACCAATTAAAATTCCAAGTAAACAGCAATTATGGAGATGCGAGAGTGTCGTCGATAGTAAGGTATGTAAATCGCGTTGGCTGGGACCGCACAACAAGGACTAATTTGCAATTTATATGCACCTAAGTCGATTAGAACGATGCCTTTTTGCCGGGGTGCACGTATGACGTGGATTATTAGCGAGATTAACGCCTTTACCACCAAAAAGGGCTGTTACAGGCAAGTAAAATCCGTTTTGCAAACAAGAGCAGGTTTACACACAGTTCTGACTTGCCCGGGAACAAATTATGAGGGAGAATCTATACTCCAGTACCGAAATAGTAGTCGTAAGTGAATCAATTTGACTACAATTTTGACTGTTTACGTCTCGATTAAGCACGTGCACTTTCTTGGTTATTTGTTTATTAATTTAATGGCAAAAAATAAATTTACGTCCCTTCTATTCAAGGTACGAACCAGATAAGTGAGTTCTTCAGTGCGAAAACTTCACTGCAGCTTTCCAAATTGTCGTTGCCTTTATACTTTTAATCTGGAATATCTAAAAGAGGCATAATGTGTTCTAAACCACCTGAAAATATAACCAGAAGTCATCAGTCCCAAACAATTCAGAGTTTCAAGAAGAAAGTTATGAATTTAATGACAAACGAAAGAGATATAAATGTTTTTTTTGTCGAAATCTGACAACACTGCACAATTTATACCTGTCACCATTTTAGGAACAGTTGTGTGAATTTTCATGACATGTTTTCTGTGTGCAGTGTTTTAGTTGTTATAGAATTATCATATAGGTGATTATTTTACTGTTTCAGATTTATATGAATAAAAAGCCCTTTTGTGGACCGCCACTGATCGATGCGATGGTAATTTGAAACGCGGATTGTCCCGAACTCTAAAATATAATATGTTCTTCCGCCCTCTACGACTTGCCGTAGAAATATCTGCTCCCTCTGCAGATGGGACGTGCAGGAGACTGGGAATCCTGCAGAGAGTGAGTGTGGAGCAGTATTGCATACAAAACACCGCCTCTGTACGATTTATCTCAGCGGTTTTGACGCGTGGGACAATGGGGATAGTCCTCGTGTGACGGGGGATGATGATCTGCACAATAGGGTACGTATTTGTCAGTACGGCGTTATTGCAAGGTCTGGAATTATAGGAAGGGTCGTTTATACGAGTATTTTTGGTGTGCCCTTAGTTTTTCAACAAATGTACTGATTTAGTTGCTAAAGAACTAAAATGTGCAGGGTGCAACTTATTAAAGTGTGTGATATATGTGTATTTGTTATTTTCAGTGTGAAATTTTTGATTAGGCAAAGCAAGTTTCATTAAAATAACCCTCAATCAATGCCTTTCACACGTAACAAGGTAAATAGAGCACAAGTAAGTTCAGACAATTACGAGTATTAATGCGAAACACTGTTTCCTGTTCCAAGGAAAGTTTTAAAAGTATAGATGCCATTTTTTTAATGAAGTAATTAATTTAATTTGGTCCTCTACGTCTAAAGCTTCCCCAGAATTTATCTTTTTCGTGAGCTTCGAGTATATCTAACATACAAAGAACTTTCATTATTACTAATTGGGTGGAATGATACACGTCCCATACACAATTTATGAGTCGTAATTCTGCTCTCTCTGCGCCCTTTTAAATCTACAGAACCCCATCAAACTTTTCACGGCGCATTTTAATCTTTCAAACTTTGCCGGATTCACCAACTGGTCCCCCATTCGTCGTTAATTGGTCTAAATTCAAAGCGACGTTCCTACTTCCTACTATACTCTGTTTGGAAATGAAAGAGTATAATAAAACCCCGAGATAAGAACCGGCCATGGGCGTGGTAATATTTCGTTTCAGGTAATTATCGGGTAACACTAATGCTAACAAAAATGACAGGGATTGGAAAATTGACTATCTACAGACTTTTAAAGGAAACAAAAAATGAACAAGATACTGTAAATCCCCCAAAATCATCTACAGGGAGGTCAAAAGTCGTTATAGATGATTTCTTCAAAAATGTCATTCGCAGAAAAGTACACTCATTTTATTTTAAAAAAGAAATACCAACGCTAAACAAAATTTTAAGTGAACTTTCAGAGGACAACGATTTGCCAAAAATCAGTAGAAGCAAATTATGGGCCGTCTTACGAGAGTTGAATTTTTGCTGGGAAAAGCAGAACAGGAAGTCAGTTCTTATCGATAAAGATGAAATTATTTGTTGGCGAAGATCCTACTTAAGATCAATTAGAAAATTCCGTGACGAAGGGAGGAATATTTATTATCTAGACGAAACTTGGGTCAACGAGGGATATACTGTAACAAAAGTATGGCAAGATAAAAATGTAAAAAGTTTTCGACAAGCATTTTTGGATGGACTTTCAACAGGGTTCAAGGCACCTTCAGGTAAAGGGCGAAGATTAATAGTGACACATATAGGTAGTGCCAGTGGTTTTGTAGATGGCGGTTTACTTTTATTTGAATCTAAAAATACAGGTGACTATCACGAAGACATGAACGCAGATGTTTTCGAAGAGTATTTTACACAGATGTTGGATCTTATTCCTCCGGGGTCTGTAATTGTCATGGATAATGCCAGTTACCATTCACGGCAGACCGAGCGGACGCCTACGACTGCTTGGAGGAAAGCCGATATAATTCAATGGTTATCCGGAAAAAACATTTCTTTTGAAACAAATATGGTGAAAAAGGAACTTTTGACACTTGTCAATCTTAATAAAGATCAGAAAAAATATGTTATCGATGAAATGGCAACAAATCGCCAAATAACGGTACTACGGTTACCACCTTATCACTGTGAACTTAACCCAATCGAATTAGTCTGGGCGCAGGTAAAAGGAGATGTAGCGCGAAATAATACGACGTTTAAATTAAGTGACGTGAAAATTTTGTTAAAAAATTCCTTGGAACGAGTAACTGCAGATAACTGGCAAAGATGTATACATCATGTACAAAAAGAAGAGGAGAAAATGTGGGAACTCGATAATTTAATTGACGTTACTGTGGAACCTATCGTTATCAATCTAGGAGACGAAGATAATTCATCAGAATATTCAGAGGATGAATTTTAATATACCTACTTTTTTATTTTCTTTATTGTACATTTATACAACACTACATTTACTCACCATAATTTGAATTTTCAAAATACATATATTTTTGTGTGGAATAAAAGTCTATTCATTAAATTTAAATAAATATTTTGATAATAATATTGAATAATTTTATTTGAATTACTAAAAACCCTCTTAACCCGGTTATGATGCTTAAAGTAGCCTCATGTTTTGAAATGTTGTTTTTATATTGTTTACTTACAAGAGAAATGGACCGAGAAATTGACGGATTGTCGGGGATTAAATTTTAGCTACCGCTACAATTTAGTACAGTCCGATCGCACAAAGTTCTGTTAAAAGTAGACCTCATCTATACGGAAAATACATACTATAAAAATATTGAATATAAGCACCAGTACTACATTTATTTACGATTTTCATACATAATGAGCTTTTATTACTCTCTTTCATTTCTAAACAGACTATAAATGCAAACGAGAAGTCGGTTCTCTAACAAGGTCGTTTGCAAAAAGCCGCATAAAAACGCGGACACTAATTTTTTTCTCTGAACAGGAACAATTTGAAAAGTTGGTTTCAGTCGTTGTTATTTTATTTCTTGAAATAAAATTAAAACTTTTTGGTGGCCATGATATAGCTCCTACTCACTCAAAAAAAAAAAACTTAGTTTCTAAATCAACCATTTTTGAGAAAACATCAAAATTATTTGTCGCTTGTTGGAATGGTTTTTTGCATACCACCTATTTCGTTAGTTTTTCTCGATGTTTTCCGCTTTGCTTTTCGAAATGTTTATCAGTATCACAATATACTACTAGTTTATGAGGAAGCTCGATGCAATTCTGCTAGAGCACGACATATTTATCACTGTCACCACCGCACCGTCAGCCGCCTCATAGAAGTACATTGTTTGGAGTATCTCAGAGTCTTCTGATACTGTTGGTGTTATTCCTGGCCGCAAAAAAACATTGCCCAAACCGACAGGTAGAAGCAGTGCATTTTTGTGGTACGAACTACATATTTCAAACGTTTCTGTCTTCCTATTGAATAAAATTGGGTCACTTACCGGCACGCCTCCGACGCCTACCACGTAGAGCAGCTGCGACATGAACAGGGCCGCCAACAGGTTCATCAGCGTCGTCCCAGACAGATTCCTCAGGTCCGAGAACAAACTGAAACAATTAAAAGTTCCCTGAGGCAAAACTTGATTTCGACTCGCAAATTTTCTGGGGCGCGTATAGTTAACTCGACAAACTTACTTAGACGGGGGGTCGCTATAACGATAACTGATCTCGACGACGATAAATATTGAGCTGGCTTCGCTGGAAAGTTCCAGACGAATGTAAATATTGGGAGTTGCAAGTGGGGGATTTACGTTTTATTTATTCACGGCAGAAAAGGAACTTTGTAGGTTGAAATACGTATAACTTTGTTTTATTTGAGTTTATCAGAAATGAAAAAACATCTGTTTGAATATATCTACCAGTTGACTACAAAGAAAGAAATATATTTTACAAATATATACAGGGTGATCCATTAAGAATGGAAACACTCGCGTACAAAAGTTGTTTATGGATCGATTTGAACCGGGTTTTCTTTAAAAGATAAATTTCCAGAAGCTCTATCTTGATGCAAAATTTGAAGACGAAATTTTGATTTTCAAGGCCTACTACGAATTTTTTTTTAAGTGGAAAAATAGCAAAATTTTGTTAGCGATTTTTTAATAAAAAATCTGACTACACCACTGGATTTAGGAACCCCTCAAATGCATTTGTACCAATTTTTGCGAAAAAAGTTTTTCACATACAAAAAAATTCGTAGTAGGCCTTGACAATCAAAATTTCGTCTTCAAATTTTACATCAATATAGAGCTTTTGGAGATCTATCTTTAAAAAAAAACGGTTCAAATCGGTCCATAAACAACTTTTGTACGCTAGTCAAATTTTCAAATCAAAATTTTTTCAACAATTACCGCCTCAAAATAATTAACGTGTCTCAGGTTTTTTTGTTTTGTTTGTTAATTCCGAGATTTTCCAGGTGGGAAGTTTCCATTGGAACACCCTGTATTTAACATACATATTCAGGTATTTAGTATTAACGAACATTATACGACTTCATTTAATAAGATTTTTAGGATTAAATCGAAGTAAAACGTCTTACGGCCATTTAAAAAGTACAATACTTTACCACATTCATAAAAATTTCATACTCGAGCCAGAGGCAAATATTTCCAGAGCATAACCCAAGAGTAAGCGTAATATTTCTCGAAATATTTCTTGCTGAATTTTTCATAGGCGTCCTGAAAACCTGAAATATCTTTCCCTTCCCTGAAGGCAAGTCCGGCTTGACTCGAAGCAGACTTTAAAAATCGATATTTCCCAAGAAAAAAATCTCTCGATCCGGGACATTATTAAAATTGGGACAATCCCCAGAGATGCCACTGAGTGATACGCAGCAGCGACGGTCGTTTTGCTTGATTAGATTCCTCCGTCCTTCCGTCCACTACAGGATAACGCGCTCGCTGAATACCGAAGTAAACAGGCTGCTGAAAATTTCATTTGCAAAGGCAACATTTACATGATGTATAATAGAATGCGTCTAGAAAGTCAGTACAGAGCACAAATAGCTCAAATCCCTGTTAACTATTACAGACATAACAATAATTTGACAAATGTCAAGTTACACTGTAAAAAAATCGGTGCGAGTCAAAGCAATAAAGGTTCGGAGTGAAATTATTTAGTACATTTTCACTCAATATTCGGCATAATGATCATTTTACTCAGTTGTGATTATATTTATACTAAAACTGAGTACTTTCACTCAAATATAGGTACTCTTGAGATAAATTCTTCACATAAATTCGTATTTGGTGCACTTGTACCGAAATCAGAGTGAATGTTCTCATTACTAAGGAATCCCACCCTTTTTCATATCCAGATGCATTGTCTTTGACTGTTCCCATCGTCCCATTAGGTTATCTCGTGACCGTAGCCTGGTGGATGGCAGTAAGGCGTATGGTGCGCTTTGAAGTTAGACAAGGATCGGTTTACGTTTATTTTAGTGAAAATTGTATTTAAATGCAGTGATTTAATTACAATAATTATGGACTATATATTAATTTTAATTAATATTTGGTTGAATAAACGGATAGTTAAATTGTTATCTATAATTACGTATTTGTAACGTGCAGTATAGGTTGTGGCAATTTATTTGTCCGATCAGTGAACTGTAATTATTATCTACCGTTATGACCAGTATCATAACGAGTCTGGATTTCAAAAGAGTTTACTATTTAATTCTCGAAAGCGAGATTATAATTACCGTTATACTTTAATTAATACATGGGAACTTAGAAATGTTGTATGTTCAGAGAATGAATTTCAAGCACTTACCATCCATTTCTTGCGTAGAATGTAATTCAGTAGCTGGCTCTACAGGGTGACACTGAAGTTGAGAGGAACAAAAGGAAACACCAAAACTTCCAGGAAGGGGAATAAATAAAACAAACAAAATAACGACACAACGGCTCGAACAACATTATTAATTAATTTATTCACACGTGACAGCGTACCGAGATTCAGGGAATGCGAGATTCACAGCAAAATTTGGAAAATACTTTATCCATTATTAAATTTAATTAATTAGCCCGAGACTCTAAAACTAAGTCGACTGCTCAATATGGAACCTAAGGAAGAACTGACTTCTTCTCGTAGATCTTTCCCGAATTCGACACTTCGCTTCGACACGCCCATTTCTTGGGTCCAGAAGTTTATGTTCTTATCTTATTGTCGGGAACCCTGAATGTCGGGACGCTTTGGCATAACTATGCCATGTTAATAATACCTAATTGACTGGACTTACATTTATATACATGATTCTGTGACTAGGCATACAAACAACCCTATACCTTCCTCTTGCGACTCCGCATAGCAATACGGGACGGATTAGCCATCACATTTAATCTATTCTTATAGCTTGGAAAATCCGTCTAAAAACCAGCTATTATTATTTTCTTGACAACATTCTAACAATTTATTCTTGGAATTCCTACGTTCTTTGGAATCGTTATTTGAAATATCTATGTTTCTCTTTATACTAAATGCTCAACACATGGCCCAGACAGTTTAAGTGAACTTGTTAAAAAATATTACTAAATTTCTCCGAAGGACGAAGCTAAACCTACTTGAGAGCCCTTAACTTTTCATAGTTTGTGTTGACTGAAATATTTTACTTTTTGACCCATCCGTTCCCAGAACTAACAAAGAAAGGGCCGAGATTATCAAGGGCCCTCTGCTCTTGGAACCTGAAGTAGCTCAGTAAATTGTACAAATTAGTAGACATAATTTCAAATAACATGGTTTTTACCCAAAAATTATACAAAAATAAATTACAAAATACCGATTTTCATCTCTTAACTTCAAGAAAAAATGTAGATGTGAGACATTATTTTTACAGTATTAGAGACATTATTTTTACAATATCTCTCCTAATTTGAAGGTTCGTCATTTGCAGAACACGCTGTATAGCTATAATGCATCGGAAATCATATACGGATACCCTTTTTTTGTAGGCCTGTGTCCACCCCTTGCCTTTTTACCCCCTCCACCCTCCTCAAGGGGGATAAAAAAGCAAAGGGTGATAAATAAGAATGAAAATAGTAAATATTAGAGTTCATAGTACGTTATTAAGAAAATATTAGTTTGCCAGTGACGATTCATTCCAAAAATGCTGTTAGTAAGTGATGGTATTTTCACTATTTTAAGAGGTGGTTGGGGGACACTCGGGGGGGGGGGGGTGATCCGTTTAGGGTGGAGTCGACTGAGTTTTTTTAGTAGATACCATAGGAACTTATTTTGAACATTTTCATCCAAATTAAATTCAGGTTGAAGTTATCAAAATGTAACAGCAAAAATGAACCACCCAGTATTAAATGTTTTAATTTGTTGGTATACCATGATTTAGTATTACCTACGCCCTTTACAGGTACCAAAAATCCACTTGATATCACGCTCCTGAAAAGAGTTCATCTATCAATTTTTTTTTAAATTAATATCTCAAAATCCTAGGTATAGGGAATATAATAAAGTGATCCTCAAATTTCACGTAAAATCTGAAAATGAAATAATATATGTGTATTCTCCATGAAATATGCTAGCTGTGACATTCAGAAACACTGTTTCAGTATCTTTGTTCTGGCATCAATCTTTGAAAGAGTGACCGCAAAAACAGCATATTTTTAGCCTATTTTCTCACCCTTGCCAGAGACCTTAAAAAAATCCTAAAAATATTCCGCATATTATGTCAAATTATTGGGAATGAAAAATCAAGATGTGCATATTTTTTAGTTTTTCGAAAAATGTCGAATATCACCCCAAATTAGGGGTTGATATGATGACGCAAAACTGAAATATATGAATAATATCAATAAGAATAAAAGCAATTCTTATTGTACTTTTTCTATAAAATAAAATCTTACAAATAGGAAATAATTTATTTTCATGATTAATGAGGGCGTGATTTAGTTGTAAGTCCACCCTTAAATTCGCTAAGGGGCTTAAATCATCCCTTAAATACGGAAAAAATCAAAAATTACTTGAAAAATCTAGGGAAAAGTACTAGGATATTCTAAATTATTAGAAATTCAAATCGTGTCCTAGTATCTATAAAAAACCACCCCTGTAAGGAAGGGGTGAACTACCCCCGAACGTGATAATATACGAAAATATCATAACGATATAAAAAAACTGTCGAATATTTTATAATAGATCTTACTTTTCTGATTAGAAAGATTAAACAGACTTAACCTAATTATTCCAACATTTTTTTTATAAAAATCAACCGTCATTGGGGGTGAAATCATCCCCTAAACATAAAAAATCAAAAAATATTTGAAAATCTTGATTTTTCAAGCAATTTTCTATTTTTTCCGTATTTAGGGGACGATTTAAACCCCTTAGCGAATTTAAGGATGGATTTACAACTATATCACGCCCTCATTAAAATTTTATTATGATACTTACTTCCTTTATGCTATAAATAACTATTACTGAGTTCTCATGTCACTTTACCGAGCTCTTCCTTCCTTTCAGATCTAGACCAGCAACGACGCACTTTCCGAGTTAAAAAGTGATTAGAATAACACATTTTCAGGAATGGCAGTACAAAAAATAATTTACTTCTACAAACATCACTTTATTTTGTGCAAAAATTACATTAATACATGAATAACACTATGAATAATATTCATTGTAATTTATTTTCTGTTCTGTTGTTTTTATTATTTCCCTAACTATGCCCTCTTCGCAAATTTATCACATTTCAGTGGCATCTTCCGACTGATATTACACCCACACTTTTCATAACGCTGACGGAGATGAACGCTGCAGCAAAACCACCACCCATTCCGCCAGCCGACTTGATTACCAGCCGAGGAGCCCTTTGAAATTCCTAGCCGGTTATAACGAGAACGAAGCCTCGTCTCCTAGACCGCCCATCATGCCACGAAGCCGTAATTCATTGCGAGATGTTAAAGTTGGTAATTTTATTAGCAGGCCGGTGAGTTACACGTCTCGCAATGTCTCCCCCGCGCCTCCGCCATCATATTACATAACGAGGCTCCAGCGCCAACAAGGCTTGCCTTGCCGGTGTAATTACTCGTTAAGGCCCTCAAGACGAAGTAGACTCCGGATGGGAAATGAACAGTAATGAGTAAGCGATGATCTGGGAACACCTACGGGAGTCGTTTACAGCGGTGGATTCTAATTTGTCTATTAGACGCTGTTTATATCCGGACTTGAAGCTTGTTAAGTGTGCGCGTTATTGAATTGTTAGGAGTGACGTGTTGTGGGTGAGTTTTAACCTAGAAAGTATGTGTCATGGCTTAAATTGTAGTTCTCCCACGATATCATTTGTTATTTTTACAACTTCTTCAGGGTTTGGTATGGTTTTTGTACATTTTCTCAATAATCTTTAGAAATCAGAAATAAATCAGTGGTTTTATGTCTTTTTTTTTGACAAAATTTCCTGTTAATAGGTTTTTAAGAAAAACACAACGGTGATGGAGGATAAATTGATATATCACATTGGGAAGATCATATTCATTGATGTCCTAAATAATTTTTCCGAATTAATGTTTCTCACTTGTAGAATAAAACAATTTTAACATATAAAAAAATTAGATATAACTGTCAACTAAAATTTATATAGAAAATATAAAAATATTTACTGCAATTTTACTTTCACTTCCAATTTTATTAAATACAGGATGTAAATAAATAAGTGCGTTCAGGTGGGTCTTTCATATAACAAAAAACTCATTTGAACATCCCCTTTGAAGATACAACCGCTTAAAAAGGGTGTCAAAAAAGTGGTTTTTCATTTTTTTCTGAAGTAAAAAAAAGTGACGGAAATGAAATTATGTAGACGTTTTTTGCTGTCGAGAAGGCACTCAGTAAACAATTTGTTGATTTTCTCATACGGTGGTAAGGGGTAGAAAAAGCCACCTCTAAGGCTTATTTCATACGTAACTTTTTTCCTTGTTAATATCTTACCATTTAAAAATTCATTTCAAATAGATTCACTCTAAACAAAAAAGGTATCTTGTATTTTTTTTGTTAAATTAACGATTTCTGAGCAAAAAATTATTTATTATTATAACGAGCGTTCAAATAAAAACGTGGTCAAGTTGGTTCTGAAAATTTGGACGTAGGGCGTAGCGTATAGCAAATGAACTTAAACGTCATCTGTCAAAGCGCTGTATCGCCGCTTTGTTATTGAAACTGACAGCTGCTATACAGCTCGTTGAGAAATGAGGTTAAGTTGGTCGCTATAAGCTACGCCCTACGTCCAATGTGTCAGAGCCAACTTCGACCACGTTTTTATTTGAACGCTCGTTATTATTGGCATATGTGATATTGAAATATGTGAAAAAACAAACTGTTATAAATTATTAAAAATTAATAGAAATTATATTAAATGTTGAATGTTTGTTGAAAATACCAAACTTGGCAACGCTGTCAAAGATGTATAAGTTTAAATGGACAATTTCGTCTGCTCCAATATAAACGTAGGTCGAAATATGCTTCATTTCCGATATACGATTCCGATTAATTTTTTATTTATTTTTATTAACTACTTCAAAGAGTTTTGATCATCCTGTATCTCGAAATCGAAGAATTTCTTACTCACATTCATATCAACTTTTTATTTTGAATGTTGAACTGAATTTTTACTTTGACCTTAATAACGCTTTATTAAAAGCGTTTTTCAAATTTCGAGTCAATATCTTTAAAACTATTTGAAATAATTACTAAAAAAAAATAAAAAATTAAAATTTGAACACTCTATCTCGGATATTACAAACATCCTGTTACTTTAATTGCCCAAATATCATTATTGTTGTGGTAACGATTTAGAAGTTATAATTGGAATTTGTTTTTCAAATTTCTTTCTTTGAAGGCGAATAACTCCGCAACGAAGCCCAATAGGATTTTTTTTTTATGAAATACTTTAACTATTTTGAGCTCCCCTGTATATCCCTTCATTTTTCACATGACCCTTCCGCACACTCTGTATATTTTTGCATTATCGACAAGAGAGAATAAAAATAAGTGAAAATCTAACTAAAACTAACAGTTTTCGAGACATTACGTATACCTTATTTACTCTATTCAAGCACTTATAGTCCAGTCACTGAAGCATATTGGCTACTAATTTTTTCGGATGGAATGGATTGAACTGTAGCTAGGGAATAGAAACAAAAGTGCCGATGTGTGCTTTTTCCCTAGGTGTGGATGCCACCCCTTCTGGAGGGTGGGAATTTTTTTATTAAAAATAACCTCACGACTCGATAGAGAATTCTAAGCAAAAAATGTTCTATAAGATTTTTTTGTGCAGTCAATACTTTTGAGTTATTTGCGCCTAAACATGTTCATTTTTAGCCCAAAATATGCATGTTTTTGAGCAATTTTTCGCGAATATCTTAAAAACTACTGTTATGATAATTATAACGAGAACCAAGTACCTACTCAAGTACATAAAAATTACAAAATTAAAATGTTGAGAGGTAAAACTCTAACAACAGGGATGTGTCACACGAGATAATTATGAAAGGGGAAATATAATTTAGTACATAGTATGAGTTTTATACACAAAAATGCAAAGATCGCTACCTGAGAATATCTATATGTCAAAATATAAGTTAAGATAGAAAATTTTCAATTAAAAACACTTAACAAAGGCTCGAAAATATACTAGAAAATTAAAATGTAGTACCCAATATAATTCTATAAAGATTTTAACCAGACAGAAGTACCGGTTTAGGGAAATTCAAATAAATAATA